TGTTTCATTATATTTTTGTTTATGAACATTTTTAAAAATTGTGATAGGTGGGTCACATGATTACCGTAAAACCTGTAATAGAAGCCCCCACTGTCAAGTTTGAGCTCAATTATCTCGGTTCTTACCAAAGATAGAAAATTTTATCAGTTGGCAAGGTTTTAGAATCTGTTACATTAAACGAGATAAAATGGTTCAAAGTTAAACATTACGGGGCTTCCTATTACAGGTTTCATTGAAACCAGAAATAATAAAACATATTTAAGGAATGTAATCTAAATACGAAACTCGTTCTCCAAAATGCTTTACAAAATTTCAAAAGTACAGTAACCATGAAACATGATCATCAATTCTACTCCCACTTTTCTGCAAGTTCTATTTTTCGGACTACGATCGGTAATTCTTTTTTCCAGAAATAGAATGAAACAGTTTTGCAGAGAACAATTGTTCAGTTTCTGAGCTATTAGGTACTTGTTCTTGCTTTCAAAAACTCATAAATATTGATGTGATTACGAGTTTGAAAATCAAAAATTGATGAAAAAATCTCACTGTTACAGAAAGGTGTTTTAACTTTCATACTTTCATAATATTAGTAATGCCTTGATGAAGTAATGATAATTTCTGTGAATTTGAGGAGTTTTATCTTGTTTTTTTCTCTCGATCCCACTATTTTTGAAGTCCATAAGCACATTACAAAAGTGAGACTTTTTAAATTTTGAGCTGAAAAACTGCCTTTTCTATTAGAATTTTCCACAATAAAAAACACAAAATCATTTTTTTTTGAATTCAAAAAAAAATCAAGAAAATTGAAAAGAAGTCAAAGATGATGATGATGAAAGAAGGAAGAGGGGAATATAGGAAGGATGAGTGTATTATGAACAAAAATGAGAAGAACTGGTTTGTTTCCGCTTCTTTTTTTTCGCCCAAATGACTGGGGAATTCGGTGGCAGGAAGCTAGAGAATTAGAATGAACAAGTACTGTAATTATAGAAAAAAACAGAACAAATAATGTTGGGATTTGTTTATGATGTAATACACTTTTATATCATAATTATCGTTTGGATTTTCCCTTAGTGTTATAATCACCCATTGAAAATTAGAAAACTAAAAAGTTCAAAACCTAAAGATGAAACAGAAAAAAACAATTTTTTTAAACCGTAAAACTTGCAACACAAGGACCACTAACTTTTAACTTCGAGCCAGTTTATCTCGGTCCTGTCAAAGATGTCAAAAAGTTGTCAACTGATCAATTGTTTATCATAATGTCACAAAAATTTTATCAGTGGACACTTTTTTTGATAACTTTGAAAGGAACCGGGATAATTGAGCTTATAAAATGGGCTTTTATTAGAGCTTATAAGGTGGGCTTTTATTAGAAAAATAGGTAAATTTTTCCAAAATGAAAAAAAATCAATCAGAAACTAGACAATTTTTTGTAAGAGTGTCTTATTCTATTTCTGGAATAAAGGATCATCGATCGTAGTCCAAAAACAGAACTTGCAAAAAAGAGAATTAATGGTCATGTTGTCCTTTTTGAGGTTACTGTACTTTTGAATTAGCATTCTGGGTTCGTTGTCAGATTGCAACATTTAAATTTTTTATGATATGGAAGAAATATGAAAAAGGGAAAATTGCAATTGAACAAAACAATCCGAGGAAAGCGTAATTTCAAAATTTTGGAAACGTTGATGTTTTAAGAAAATTTCAAAACCTGTCTGAGCCATTAGGATTACAATTTTTGAATTTCTAATCTTAATTGTCAGACTGAAAAGACCCAAAAGTTTATTAATTATAAATTACAGTAAAAACTCTAATAGAAAGCCACCCGGACCATCCACTGTGAGCTTATATATCTCACTTATTTTGAAAGATATCCAAGAATTGTCAACTAATAAAAAGTTTATCATGATTTCAGCAATACTTTATTTGTTAACCACTTTTCGATATCTCTCATAGAAAATGAGATACATGGGCTTAAATTTGACAAATCTGGGGCCGTATTCATGAAATTTACTTTTGTAAATCATTTACTCTCAAAAAATCAACTGAATCATTTACCAAAAGGTAAATGGAAGCGTGAAAATGTACTGAATATCTTTTTCTCATTTGTAAATAGTTTTCCTGTTTTTTAGATAGGAAAACGACTTTGAACTAGAATTTCTCAACTACGTTAAACTGAAAGATGCTCATTTTTTGGCACATTACTTTGAATTGAATGATCTATCCATTCATGTCATTTGTATCAAAAGTCATAATTTTCGAGTTGAACAGAAACGAAATGTGTGTTTAAAGGTAGATAATATCGATGTTACAATACTATTATTTCCATACATAACTTTTTTGGAATGAAAAGTTTCCAAGAAGTGGTTGTAAACAGCAAACGAAATTCCCCTATTTACCAAAAAAGGGGTATTTACCAAAAAGTAAATGATTTCTCTTAAATTTTCACGTTTTTCATTTGATTTTTGAGAGTAAATGATTTACAAAAGTAAATGTTCATGAATACGGCCCCTGGTGACGTTTTATTGAAGTCTTTACGGTATGTTATTCTCCATTATTTTTTAACTAAAATTTTTTCACCGTTTCAGATTCCCACTTTGTATTAAAAGTTATGCAACCTCTAATTCGTGTGAACGACATTATTTCAGAATACGCTTTCAACAGTACAGTAACCTTGAAGATGTCCATTCTAAAAATGATTACAACTTTTAGTTATCTTTAAATCTTCAAAAATTACAATTTTACTATGTAAAAGTTCTATTAATATTGCTCACATTTTCTATAAAAAAGTCTTTACTAGCTTTCAAAATAAAAATCCGAAAAATGTGGTTTCTTGTGTCCTATTCATTTTTTGGCGCAAATGAGTAGACGACAAGGAGAAGAAGACATTGATGAATGAATTGGAATGAAATGATTTGATTCGTTCGGAAAAGGACAAGAAGAAAAAGAAGGACTCTTCCTTCTTCTTCTTGTCTTATTAGGAAAATTAAATGAAGGGAAAGGTGGAGAAGGACAAGAGAAGGTCACCTTTTGGAATTACCTCAAGGTAGCTTGTCACTCAAAACAATAAAGTCATGGAGATTGAGGAATTTACTGGTGGATATAAATTGGTTTGGAAAAAAAAAGAAATTTGGCTTAAAGGAAATATGAACAAGGATACTGGAGAACTTTAAAAATGTAAAGGTTTCCAATTCTCATAGTCTCTTGCCAATTGGTTATAAATAGAAAAAGCTTTTTAACGGAGGTTTTGCAGGAATTTTCAAAAAACAATATTTCAAATTCAAAAAAAATTCCAGTTTCAAAACTGTCATTTAAAAAATTAACTGATTCTTTTATTTGTTTAGTAGCCTTTAGTAGTTTTGAGCTGTTTAGTAGTTTTGAGCTGTTCTCCCATATTTTCATGAAACTATTTTTATTGAACCCTTTGTATTTTCTCATTTTCCGACGATTTTCATGGTTTTTCAGTTATATTTATAATTTAAATTCACTTTCTTGTAATTTACAAAGAAACAACGATAAAAATTGTTGATTAATGTAGGAAATTAGCTCAAAAAGGTACGGTAGTTCGCTCTTGGACCTTCAAATGCGTCCTTAACGCGAATTTCGTTCTCAAAGTGCACCCTTTACTCGAATATGGAACGATAGTCACTTCTCCAATCCTAAAAGATCATATTATAAAATTGGAATCGGTGCAAAAGTCATTTGTTTTCAGAATTTTCAAAAAATTCAGGATGGCATACACTTCATACTTTGAAGCACTGGAAGAATGTCTGCTAAGTTCCTTAGAGTATCGCAGGCTCTATAATGATTTGGTCTACACGTATAAAATTATTGTTTCCAAAGAAATTATCATGGAGGTTCCAATTTTCGAAATATTTAATCATGCTGGATCATTGCGACGTCACAAATACTACCGTAAAACCTCTAATAGAACGACACCCGGATCGTCCACTTTGAGCCTATATATCTCATTTTCTGTGAAAGATATCAAAAAGTGGCTAACTAGTAAAATGTTGCTGATATCCTGATAAACATTTTACTGGTTAACCACTTTTTGATATCTTTCAAAAGAAGTGAGATATATAGGCTCAAAGTGGAAGATCCGGGTGTCGTTCTATTAGAGGTTTTACGGTATCTCAAATCACTTATCAAAAACTCAACAAAATATCTTCTCAATTTCTCTCTAATAGAGTAATCAGATGTTGGAACTCTTTACCCGCCAAAGTGTTTCCGGTGAAGCCCTCGTCAGCGGCTTTCAAAAATCGACTATTATCCTGTGATCTAATACATTTTCTTGTCTTGAATTCAACTAATTACTAACTCGGTTTTTTCCTTCATCTCCCAATTATGTATGTCCCTGTTATATCTCCTAGTTTCATAGACATTTCACGTGTTAGTGGTTTTCTCCCCTTCGTTGAAATAAATAAATAAATAAATAAGACAAAAATGGACGAATGGAAAACTAACTTCCCTGACAAACCTTCTAATTGATATAGAAAAAGCTTTTTAACGGAGGTTTTGCAGGAATTTTCAAAAAACAATATTTCAAATTCAAAAAAAAATTCCAGTTTCAAAACTGTCATTTAAAAAATTAACTGATTCTTTTATTTGTTTAGTAGCCTTTAGTAGTTTTGAGCTGTTTAGTAGTTTTGAGCTGTTCTCCCATATTTTCATGAAACTATTTTTATTGAACCCTTTGTATTTTCTCATTTTCCGACGATTTTCATGGTTTTTCAGTTATATTTATAATTTAAATTCACTTTCTTGTAATTTACAAAGAAACAACGATAAAAATTGTTGATTAATGTAGGAAATTAGCTCAAAAAGGTACGGTAGTTCGCTCTTGGACCTTCAAATGCGTCCTTAACGCGAATTTCGTTCTCAAAGTGCACCCTTTACTCGAATATGGAACGATAGTCACTTCTCCAATCCTAAAAGATCATATTATAAAATTGGAATCGGTGCAAAAGTCATTTGTTTTCAGAATTTTCAAAAAATTCAGGATGGCATACACTTCATACTTTGAAGCACTGGAAGAATGTCAGCTAAGTTCTTTGGAGTATCGCAGGCTCTATAATGATTTGGTCTACACGTATAAAATTATTGTTTCCAAAGAAATTATCATGGAGGTTCCAATTTTCGAAATATTTAATCATGCTGGATCATTGCGACGTCACAAATACTATCTCAAATCACTTATCAAAAATCAACAAAAATATCTTCTCAATTTCTCTCTAATAGAGTAATCAGATGTTGGAACTCTTTACCCGCCAAAGTGTTTCCGGTGAAGCCCTCGTCAGCGGCTTTCAAAAATCGACTATTATCCTGTGATCTAAAACATTTTCTTGTCTTGAACTCAACTAATTACTAACTCGGTTTTTCCTCCATCTCCCAATTACTACAAATGTATGTCCCTGTTATATCTCCTAGTTTCATAGACATTTCACGTGTTAGTGGTTTTCTCCCCTTCGTTGAAATAAATAAATTAATTAAATAAATTAAAGTGCATTGATTCCGGATAAGATTAATAATAAAATAAATAGTTTCCCGAAAAAAACTATAAAATTCCAAAAAATAGAGGAAAATGTCACAGAAATTCAAATTGTGAAAATTTTACAGTTTCCGGCAAAGCATTTGAAAATAAACCGATTCAATTTACAATTTGCTAGAAGGTGATTGTAAGCTTTAATTGGAAAATTTTCAGTTTCACCAACTGTATCTCATGTTCCAAAGAAGTCGAGGAAATTAATCAACAGAGGAATTTCGCATGTTCACCGAATTGAAAAAAAAATTAGCTGTAACTTCTTGATTGCTAATACAGTGGTCATAATTTTTTTTAAACCTATTGAGAATAAAAAAAAAGCTTTGCTACAAATCAGAACAAAAAAGTGGCATTGGTTTCAACTGTATGGAGGTTATAGGTTTACTTTTTTAGAGAGGAGGTCTGACTCATTTTTTGAAAGTAAACAAAAAAATGTATTGAAACATTTTTGAGGAGTTTTTGTACCCGGTTTTATTACCGAAACATTTTTTAGAAAATAATGAAAAAAAACGTTTTTTGGTGTTGTCCTCAGAATAGTTTCAATTAATTTCTAGAAGTTATAAGAACAACATTGAAAAAAATCTGTAAAATGTTCAAAAATGAAAATTTTGAAACAGTATTTTTTCCAAAAAAAAAGTAGTGGTATGACAAGAAGACCACTAAGAAAACTAGGTTAAACCCTGTAGTCAAACATGTAAAAGAGGCGGGAAACGTTTTTTTTTTCGAAAAAAAAGTTGACGGAGAAAACTGTCAAAAATTGAGACAGGTGCGAAAATGAAGAAGAAGAAGAAGAAGAAGACACAAAAAATGAAACAAGAAAAACTTTGAAGACAAAAAAGAAATAGAGAGAAATGCAGACAGTAAAAGAAAAAGAGCCCCCGTCGAGAGGAAAAATGTGAATGGAGATGGTATGCGGAGAAAAGAAAAGAGACAGAAAAGTCTGTATTTTTGTTGACTTAGTCCAAGTTGAGTTGGTTTAGACGCCCTGATCGGACGGAGCAAAACTGGATAGATGGAGAGAGTGTTGGAGGTGGAGAGGATTAGAGAAAAAGTGACTACAAGGTGGCTTTAGTAAAGAGAGGTTGCTCTAACAACCTGATACTAAAAGTTTTTGAATGTTTTCAAATTGGATCTGATTATTCTGAGAGAATCGATTATTTGATAAAAATTATTTTTTAAAGGATCCCTATTACGGACATTGTTTAAATGTATTTTTTTCTGATTCACAAAATGATTTTCACTTTGGTTGACTTCAAAAATTATTAGATCGTTAACATGCAAAGAGATGTTATAATACGATAAAGAAGCTTCTGAAATTTTTTACAAGAACTTTCGCCAATTTCAAATAGGCTTGATTATCAGGAGAAAATCGATTTCTTGGATTTATTTTGCTTTTAATTTTAAAAATATTTTTTCTGTTCCACACAATACATTTATTTTTGGTTGATTTCGAAAAGCTGATTGATCAATGACAAAATATTGTCCGACATCGAAAAACTTCAAAAGCGGGGGTCCCGTTAAAGGCGCAAAAGCCAATTGCAATATTTTTAAGCCTATTTTCATGTTAATTGCCTTTTTCGACTTTCCGGTGACTTTCACAGTTTTTCTTGGGTTCATCATTTTATTTCACTGTTAAAACGATGAAAATAGTGGAAAATTGAGAAAATAGGCAATTAACATTTGATTAGACTCAAAAAATACTGTAATTTGCTCATGTGCCTTAAAAAATTCAGCCGTTCTCAACTTGTTTTCTTTCTCAGACAAATGCTGCACTTTGAAAGTGTCACTTTTTTCTGTTTCACAAAGGAATTTTAATTATTGCTGATATTTAAAATTTGGTAGATGTCTTATTTCTAAACTTATTTACATTCACATAAAGGAAAATCGTTTTTAAAATTACGAAAAGCGGAATAAAATCGTCAGATGTTTCAATTTTCGAAATTTCTCATGCACTTTTTTTTCAGAAAACATTTTTATCTATTCTAGAAACTGGTCATTTTAAAGGTTTCTTTGGCAGTTCCATAATCTTAGAAACCGATAAAACATTTTTACTGTTTTAAAAAAGTATCAAATTTTGTTTTTTTGTTCTTCGTTAATTCATGGTTGAAATTTGCTCTTTCCAAGCAAAAATCGCGATTTTCAAAAGAATGGCTAAAAACAGGGGGAAAATTCCATTATAAAAAAAAATGGGATGATCAGGTGGGGGGACATTTTAGAGTTCAGAATATCCCCCCCCACCGTTGATTTGGGGGGTTATATTGGAATCCGTGGAAATCTTTCATTATAACCTCCCACACCAAACCAATATGCACCCCCAAACGGAAACTTCGGAATACCACCCCGCGTGGAGGGGGGGTCAGATTGGAACGGATTGCGGGGGAGGGGGGTCATATTGAAATGATGGGGGGCTTATTTGAAAACTTAAAAATTTCTAGGGGTCTTGTTTTCAAAGTATACGCCGATTTATGTACGGTAACATAATCCAGAAATCAGGAAAAATTGAGAAAAAAAGTAGAAAAAACGCAGAAATCTAAAAGAAAACTAACAAAAAACCGGTGCAAAAACGATAAATAACACATATTTTTCTATGCGTACGTTTGATCTTCAGGCGAAAAATCAGGAATAGCATTTTTTGAACCCCCCACCCATCTTATGAAAGATGGTGGGTGGGGGTGTATTCCAACATTTATGCCAGGGGTGTTATATTGGAATGTTTCGGGGGGCTATACTGGAATATACTCAAAACAGGTATTCAAAATATTTCTCAGTTTCCAATGGGCTTTGATTATCCCGAGAGAATTGTACATTTTATTCGATTGAGAATTGATTTTATAAAACATTTTTTGAATTTTTAATGTATTAAAAAAACGTATATTTTCAAAAATACACTGAAAACATTCTGAATATCACTCGTTAAACCGATATAATCACCAGACTTTAAATCATTTTAAATATATTCTCTTTTCAATTGATTCTAGAAAATGGTCATTTTGCAAAGTTTCCAGCAGTTTCATTGTTTTTTTAAGTTTTCATTTAGAAAAAAAGTATGTAGAATTCCAGAAATACAATGAACAGATTTTGAAAATTACACCATATTGTTAAATTTAAAAAATGACACCCCGTGTTTGCAGACTCAGTATTGTCTATTCAAAATAATCG